CATCAGCCCCGCTGCTGCTTTGCCTCATTTTGATTCTCCTGTGTTCCTATAAAATGTTTGACTGAGGCGTGGCGCTCAAAGACATGTCCACGCCATGGAGGAGGGGGAAACACAGGTTTACTATCCAACAGTCTGGTGGAATCAATTGTTTCCCTGCTGATGAAAGACTACTTCTAAACCACAACTTTCCAATTTTATCTGTAAATTAATAACTGTCTTTTTGGTATTTGTTTTCTGTTTCTAATTTTTTTAAATTCTTTTAGCTCAGTGCTGAGGACCGGTGACGGTGGTGTGGTTGACCTGGATGGCGGTGTCCCTTTTGTGTGTGCATGCTTGCGGTGATCAACACAGGTGGAGGGAAACTCAAGGAGTGAGTGTGGTTTCACGTGTGTTTGTAGTAGTTTCTCTTTGGGAGCCGCTCGTCCAGAACAGGTCTGGCACCTACCGGTAAACCTCAGTAGCTGAGCATTAGTAGTTTGTTTTCTTTTGTTTTTATTTTTTGAACAGTTTGTTTTTTAATCAGTCTATCACATTTTGTGTTTTAATAAAACAACTTTCTGTACTTGAAAACTGTCTCTTGCTTTTTGCAAAACCGTACCTGTGTGTCTTGACTTTTGATTTTCTGGGTGAAAGTTATTGGTGGTTGGTGACAACCAAACTTTAATGTTATAGCCCCAGAAGATCACCACTTGCCACATTATTATTACACTTGTTTATATATATGTCTTTCCTCCTTTTTCTTTTTCACTTATAGATGTTCATTCCCCCTGGCTGTGTTGTTATATTTTGTATCACGTTAAAAGTTTCAATAAAGGTTTTAAAAAATGTTTTCTTTTATCTACCGGAAGTGAGTCCGTCTCTGAAATCGTTCCGTCACTACTAGTTTGTGCAGCAGCAGATTTCACCCGGGCAGCTTTTTGACACATTTGACACCCAGCTACCTGTGGTCCAGCGGGTTTTATCAGAACATGAAACGCAGGTTATGTGAACGTTTGGTGATTAAAACCCCTCGCAATTAGTGAGGCAGTGTGGGGAACAAAGAGGACATGGACGGACAGATTATTCAGGTAGGCTGGCCGTGAATCCGCGGAAGAGTACTGAACGATGTTAGCTAATTTAATCGCAACATTTCCACCAGCGTTCTGCTGAGTAATGGTAAGAATGTTACCAGTGAGTTCTATTTATAGAGCTGAGATTTATCACATCTTGTGTAAGCTGAGTCAAATCCACATGACAGCCAAAAATGTACCATGAGCTCGCTGAAAAAACGTCTATAGTTGAAACCACCCCAAAATTATCAGAAAAATATCACAACAGACAAAAACAGGATTGTTTAATTGTTTTTATGTGCTTCATGAAATGTTTTCTCCTGCTATATTTTGAAAGTTTTTATGATTTCCTATAGATAGATAGATAGATAGATAGATAGATAGATAGATATCACACTGTACAAATCTTACAGTGTTGGGTCTCAGTCATAAAATATTTGACACAAACAAGAGTACATGTCTCATCAAGACCAATGCTTTATAACTGAACCTTAACTGTCTGTCTTTTGGACAAGGACTCAATGTCTTCTGTGTCCGTTGGGATGTCAGAGTTGTCCGATGAGATCCTGCTGTGCATCCTCCGTCATGTTCCTGTGTGTGACCTGCTGACAAACGTGGCCAACGTCTGCCAAAAGTTGCACACACTTTGCCGTGACAAGACCCTGCTCGCAAACGTCACACTATCTGAGGAATATCTGGTAAAGCAGCTGCGGGGGATCCTCATTGGTGCTAATAGTGTTTCTGTTTAATGGAAATGTTGTCACCTGTTTTCAGGCTGATGATCAGTTGGTTCGCCGCATCCTGAGGCAGCTGGCCAATCACGTGCAGTCCCTGAGTCTGAACGGCTGCTACTGGCTGTCTGCTTCCACCTTGGACGTTCTGGCACGGTGCAGAGGAGTGACGCGTCTCGATGTCACTGGCTGTCGCCTCACTTCCCTTTGCCTGTCGCGCCTCCTGTCCTCTCTGTCGTCACTCAGGTCCCTGGCCTTCGACGTGAGGCCGTGCTTCAACTCCGCTCAGCTCAGCTCGGAGGCGGTGGACTCGCTGAGCCGCCTGACGGAGCTCAGGCAGACGCTCTTCACGCCGAGCTACGGTGTGGTGCCGTGCTGTGCTAAACTTAGCAAGTAAGGATCTGTGTCTCAAGTGTTTCGGCACCGATGTCGTGATAAAACTAAAATCAGCTCTCTGATGCTTCATTATTACAGTGCTGAAAAAGGAACAAGTTTTATTGAGTTTTTAAACACATTATCACGAGTGAACTGATAAACACAGCAGCAAATGACATCAACCTCCAATATTGTTAGTATTAAGATAATTTATGGATTTTTTTGTGCATTTAAGAAGGAAGTAAACTATTMATTTCTTCAAATATCATAAGGGTGCATAAATGTATGTTAAAATGTGTTTAAATACAAATATATGATGAATAAGCAATACAATGCAAGCTTCAGCAAGACTCGTCCATAGCTCATTATAAACATAATGAAAATGTTTTGTAAAATATTTGTAATGTGCAAATTTCCCCACTGTGGGATCAATAGTTATATCTTATCTTATCTTATCTTATCTTATCTTATCTTATCTTATCTTATCTTATCTCGTCTCGTCTCGTCTTGTCTTGTCTTGTCTTGTCTTAATCTTATCTGGAGTATTTATTCCAGCCATCTATCAAACACTTCTAATCTAAGCTGAACTAAGACATTCACAATTCAACAAGTAAACTCAAAAAAGTGTATTGTTACATTTGAAGTTCCACTTTATTAATGTTTTGATCAAACTGTCCTAAAACCATCTTCCCACCAGCTGAATTTCCCTAATATGTATGTCAAATGTTAAAAAGAAGAGCTTATTGGCTAATAAATAAGAGACTATCATCAAGCTCTAGCCATTTGTTGTATTTGTTTTAAACTTTCTATGCTGTGGAAATCCAGTTTGTTATATTTTGAAGAATCATTATGTTCTTTGTTTTTATTCTCTTAGTCTTCCGATATTTATTCAATATTAATGTTATATCAAATGTAAAAGAGATGTGGAATTATTGGAGGTTTTTTTTTAAAGTTATTTAGGACACAAACTTTGTCTAAGGTGCTCTTAAATTGAAAGCACTTGTCATTAATCAGGTTTCAACTCTAATTCTGTGCATACTGATCAGCTCAGATAGGATTCAGTGTTAGTTTGTTTCACAGTTCCAGATGACTGTGTGTGTTTGTGTTGTAGGCTCATGCTGCAGTTTGACATCCCAGATGTGACCAGAGAAGGTGTCGGAGTTTGCTGCCAGTTGATGGTTGGTCAGAGCAGTGTGCCACATTATGAACAGCTGGAAGAGTTCACAGCCAGGTTGGCTCCAGGAGAGGTGAGTTTGTTTTTAGTTCCCTGGATGTAAATAAATCCTGTTCCCGTCTGAGATGTSAGGGACGTGTCTCCGTGGCCACAGGTGAACCAGACCCTGCTCCTYCTCTACCTGGCAGTCTTCAGCGTCCACATTCCGAAGCGTCTCCGAGTTTTCCTCGTGTCGATTCCCGGCCCGAGCCCGGCMCACTGGCCTGCGGCGCCCTCGCTKGCTCAGAGCYTGGGTCAGAGGGGGGACCTGGTGGCGCTGCAGCTGCCCCGGTCCTGGCTGGACCCRTTGTCTCTGAAGCGAGCGCTGGAGGGAAACAGCCCCAGACACCTGAGCTTCAGCCGCTGCCCCGCGCTGTGGCCGCAGGTGCTGCAGTCGCTGCTGAACGGAGGAGTCCAGGACGCGGCGCAGCTCGTCAGCCTCAACCTCAGCGGCATCAACCACTTCCCTTACTCCGAGTGCAGGAACGGGGAAGGTCAGCTGGTCTCTGGGACAATGGGTCAGCTGGCTGCCGCCTGCGCCAACATGAAGCACCTGAACCTGATGCACACACACTACCATCATGAACGCTCACACGGGCTGGGTGGAGAAGCTCACCTGTGTGCCAGCTTGGGTCAGTTCAAACAGCTGCGCTCTCTCACGCTGCCTGCGTGCGCTCTGTCGGACGGGGCGAGCGAGAGTCACGCCTCCGCGCGCATATCGGCCTCCTCTCCGTTGTTCCAGGGACTGAAGAAGGCTCCACGCGTGGGCCTCCAGAACTACAGACCCGACTCAGAGTCCTCTCTGTCGGGGGACAGCACTTCAGGGCTGGCGTCGCTCACGGCCGGCTGCCCCTTTTTGGAAACGTTTGAGCTCATCGGGCCGGGTTTCGCCTCGGCACTGCCTCGCCTCGAGCCCTGCACTCGCGCCAGCGTGGAGCCTCGCGGCATGTGCGCCTGGGCGCGAGGCRTCGGAGACGCACACCTGGCAGCGCTCGAGGCTTTGCCTCGCCTGCGCTGTTTGACTCTAGCTGGACTTCCCGGAGTCCTYAGAGGAACAGGACTGGTGCAGCTGGCCAGGCGGTGCAGAGACCTGCGAGTCTTATCCTTGGCCAATCTGGGCTCACTGAAAACTATGAACTACACAGCTGCCTTACTGGAGATGCTCAAACAGTGCACTCAGCTGCAGGAGCTCAGGTTAGAATACACCTTTGTGTTCTTTTCTTCTTGCAACATTAACCTTTGGATTTATAGATGATATATGTGAGCCATCACATTGAAACGAGGATTAAATGTAAAAGTTGTCTGTGGAGAAATATGCAGATGTAGTGTTTTGATTATAACACTTGCAAATATGACATTTTGTCAAAATATAACAAATAAATG